ATACTCAAATTTTTTACAAATTTATACCGACGCATCTAAATCTCAACATGGAACTGGCTTTGCGATCATTAGAGACGAAACTAAAATCCTTCACAAACTTCCTCCGGAGAGCAGTATTTTCACTGCAGAAAACTACGCCATATTAGAAGCAATCAGATCTACTAATCTGACCAGTTTAAATAATAATATTTTAATAGTAAGCGACTCATTTAGCGCTCTCCAAGCACTCCAAAACCCCTTCTCGACAAACTAAATAACCCAGAATATACAAACAGAACTATATTCTACAAAAAAAAAATATAGAATTTATGTGGATACCATCTCATATTGGAATTTCCGGCAACGAGATGGCCGATAAGTCAGCAGACATAGCGACTAAAACCATCCTGCATCCAACAATCACTGACATACCGGCTAAAGACATAAATAAATCTATTAGGAATAAAATAAATATGACATGGCAAAGTTACTGGGATTCCGTTCCGCCTTCCAACAAATTAAAAAAAATCAAAAGATGCACTAAAAAGTGGCATTATCTTCACAATTTAAACAGACGACAAGAAGTCACTCTAACCCGAGTGAGAATCGGACATTCCTCTTTGACACATACTTTCTTAATCAGCAAATATGCACCACCCATATGTAATAAATGCCAAGAAGACCTAACCATCCAACACATCATCCTAGACTGCCCAGACCTACAAAACATCCGAAGTACTTTTTCAATACCCAACAACTTAGAAGAAGCTCTCCATGAAGACAACACCATACAAATTTTAAATTTCCTTACAAAAATTAACGTTGTAAACAATATCTAATCAACACTTTTGTATTTCATTATTCTTGTTTAAAAAATATTGTAACCTTTGATATTTAATTATTAATGTAACTTACACAAAACATGTACACAATTGCTAATAACCTCAGATGTTGAAGCCTCTTAAAAAAAAAAAAAAAAAAATGCATAATTGTCTGAAATCGGGTGAAACTGTTTTTTCAAAAGATATTAGTTTTTAGCCATAGAATTAAAATTTTTGGGACTTCACATTGCACTTAAGAAATATTGTAAGCATTTAAAAAATGTCCTTATTTTATCAATTACGTATATTAATGACTACGAAATGTCTGTTTATAAGTCTAAAATATTGTTATAGTCTCCAAAAGACATTATAACTATTATTTGAATAAAGTTTCTTATTTACAGTCTGGAAATGGCTTTCTGTACTCACTTACAACTAAAAACCCAGTTCTTAATACTTGTACACTTGACGGCAATTTACTTCCTGTTATTTAATTTAAATAATTATTTATTAAATGGAGGAGGAGGGGCTGAGTGGGTAAGGCGACAGTGTGTTAGCGCTCACTGTCGCCGGTTCGATACTCGGTCACAGGCGCTCCGTTTGCTGGGCGAGCAATCGTCCGGTAAAAAGGAACCGTCAGATTGACGACCCGTCCCGGAAGCGAATTCGTCAAGAAACCATCTCATGATGGCAGCGTTGGGCCTTCATGGCCCGTTAAGCTACATGATGATGATGATTAATTAAATGAATGTTCTCAGAAATAGCGAAGGAACGAAATGTCTATTTGAAACATGAAAAAATGAGTCATAGCGAATGTACACGTCATTGTGTGACCTTTTTTTACACCGTGGTGTACACCTGGTGTGGATAAATAAATGTACTACAATTTTGGGAAGGTTAGGTTTTTTAAAGCCATGTCCAATTAAAGTTGACGGTTGAAACCGGTAAATTTTTTTTGGTTTTTCTCGGTTTTGAGGTACTACATGAGTAAATTGGTTCACAGAAAAACAAATGTTATCGTGTTAAAAAAGGTATACAACAATAAAAAAATAAAATATGCTTTGTATTTGTCTTGCAAATGTATCACGGTGCTATCGAATATATTATCCAAGAACGTAACAAAACATGTTTTGGCAAACGCAACACTGAGCCGTGAAGAAAATACTTATTTTACTGTTCATTCGTCGTTCGTCTATGGTTTGGCACCAGTACTACAACTATCTTTAATAGAATTCTTATTATAATTAAGAAAAAAAAAATATATAATATGCATTTCAAGAGCGCCATTATTGTCTGCGCGGTGTATTTCCTAACGTCGGCATGGGTAAGCGTATGATACCTACTATATCTGTAACAACTGTGAATAAGTGTGTAAGTTGAATTTTGGTCATAGTTGACTAAGTACGCTAGGATGTAGTCCGAGGCGTCTAGCATTATTGAATAAATGTCTAACTCATTGGACCAACAAGAAAACCTTGAGAGAGATGTAAGCTGTTATTGTCTAAGATGGAATTTATGGCAGCTGCGGTCAAAGTTTAAAATCGCCCCCCTGTAAAATCACTGAAATCGACTTACACACTTATTCACAGTTGTTACAGACATATTATACACCCTTCTCGGATAGTATAAACTCAATATATTGAATACATACCGATCATGTACGATACTTTAATGTGGGAAAATCTGCCACGTCATTGGCAATACGTTCACGCAGTAAGTTTACCAATAAAATTGATAGCTGTCTTACTTTATTTTAGAGCATCGGACTTAACAGTGATCAATTGATACAGGCAAATAAACGGTTTGAAACTGACAATAAGTGTAAGAATGGAATTTGCGAGGAGGAATTCAAAAAATTCGTGACAGAATACTTTGGAATAGCATGGAAACGTCCTCAACATTTAGGATATTATTCGAGTAACATACTGATAAACAATTAAATTACCTATACTCTGGACAATTTAAGTCAACCGTTAATATGGCCGTCGAGGGCTTTACAGTTTGCACTCGGTTAATTAATATTTGTTGAACTTAATAGATCATACCGGGTGATTCATTTAACGCCCTACACGAGTTCACTCTTATAATAATTGCAATTTATTTTTTAATGTTGCCTTATGAAAACATTTTTATTTACGTTTTAGCACAATATTAAAAAATATACAAATTTTAATTTTTTTTTTAGTAATTGTTAGAGGTTTATCAACTTTTGAAACTTAAATAGTAATTTGTAATTTTATAGTTATTAGTTAGAACATATTATATTCTTTATACGTTAAAACCGTATAAACTTAAGTTTTTTAAATGGTAAGGTAGTTAAATGATTACCTTTTTAAATTAAGAATAGTTCACTGAACATTTTGACTGTTCGATAACCAATTTGGAATACATTTTTTGAAAAATTATTAAGTTTAAAATGAAGGATGGGAGGTAGGGTGCAGTTGAGTATTGCACGCAGATTAAAATAACTGTACACAGTAATCAAAATAGTTGAAATAATTATTATGTGTAAAAATTAGATAATTTTCCGTCTTTTCTAAAAAATGCTCACTCTTTTTTTTATTTTCTTGGCGTTTTTATGTAGAACCCAACTTAAAATTTACACATTCTATGTAAAATTTCCTGAGCTGTTGGGAAAAAATGATTAGAAAACGTCTCAAATTTTGGAAGAACACGATAAAACAACTTTTAAGATTAAAAAATAAATTTTAGTGACTTTTGTTACTCGAAAAAATAAATCAATATTTTTTTCAGAAAGCTGAGATTATTTTCATAAGAAACTGATTTTTAATCATTTTTTTTGATGGCCGAAGATACCATAAAAAAATTATAAGTCACGAAAGAAACTAAAAATACTTTTTACGACCATGGCCATAGTAATCCAAAAAAATCGAAAAAAAATTTGAAAATATATTTTTATCATAACAGACATGCAGGGTAATATTCAACAAAATTCGAAGTGGGTTCTCAGAACTTTTGTCTATATTTAGCCTTTTGACCCATGTCCAGGATGTCTATATAAATGAAATAACTTTTGTTTTAGTGAATATATTAAAGATTTTTTTTTAAAATTAATTTATAATAATTTTCGCTATAAACATCACGTTTTTTATTGCACTTACCTATTTTACTTTTTAAAATTATTTAAACATTTTTTTTGTTACATTAATTTTAGTAAATTTATGATGGCCATTTTATTAAGAATAATTTACTGAAAATGTTGATAATCAGTTTTGAATAATTTTTTTTAAGTTATTTAAGGTTAAAGGTAAGATGGGAGGTGAAGTGCGGTAGAGTTATTCGTGCAGATAAAATTAACTAGGCGTTTACTCTACCGCACTCCACCTCCCATCATACTCCCATTATGCCCTTTAACTTTTAATAACCTAAGAAGTAATTATCCAAAACTATTTATTGACCAGTCAAAATTCTCAGTAATTTATTTTCAATAAAATGGCTATCTAGAATGTTTAAAAAAATTATTAAAAAAGTAAAACAGTGTAATACAAACCGGGCTGTTTATAGCGCAAATGAGTGTAAATTAATTAAAAAAAAAAAATCTTAAAAGTAACACTAGAACAAAAGTTATTTAATTCGTGAGGTCTTTGTGAGACACCCTGTATATACAAATAAAGGTTTGACACCTGTTATTTGGGTCTGTGGTAATTCGGAGATAAAGCAGCCGGAGTGACATACACATAATATCGCCGCCACGGTAGAACAAAATTTACAATGACACAACTGCAAAATTTGATAAAACGGACTAAATGCTTCAATGTGTTTAGATATAACAAACGCATAAGGTAGAAATATGATGTAACTGTAGTTATGTACTGGCCAAGCCCCAATTTCATAATCAATTGTGCATTCATAAGTTATTGATATGAAAACAATTTGGTTTTTGGTTCTTGTGTAAAATTTCAATTATTGCAGTTTTGTCATTGTTCTACCGGGGCGTCGATTTATTAAAACATCCCAATATCTGGTTAATTATATTAGCATATAAATGGTAAGATGTCAGCTAATTAGTATGTAGTTAAATGCGAGTGCTGTCCACCGGTATGAGACGTGTCACTCCTTCTCCTTCAATTATTATATAATTATATTTGTAATGCGTACCCAGCCCAAGGTGCTGTCTACAAATACGGCTTTATAGGTTTAGTTTGGCAGTAACAATAGCTACCAGTCATAGATATTATTATTTTTGCTAATCATATTATGTCAGGCAAAAAGACAGCGTTACAACTTATCTATATAAAAATAATGACTTAATTACTAACTAATCAATTTGTATACAGCTGATTCCGATTGTTTGAATGTATGTCGTTTATTGAAGAAGTTGGCAGAAAACAACGAAAGCTCCGACAAAACCAAGGTATTAAAGGTCTCAAATCAACTAGTTTAAATTTAAAATGAAATATATATACATCGATTATTGGAAAATATCGAATTGTGATATAATCTAAGTTCGTTTCGTGTGATTTTCTTGTATTATTCTTATTCATATTATTACTAGAGTCAGCTGAAATGTGATATATTTTTCAATAATATAACCCTTATGTGTTAGAACCCTATAAATTTAAAATTGTCAAATAGTTTTATTTTACAGTGTGATTTTTAGCATGAGACTCATTTTCTTATAAGTAAAATGGTGATTCTTGTAATGTTATATTTTTTCGAGAAAATGAGTTACTTATCTTTAATGAAATACCCTGTAAACGAAAGGTAACTGAAGTTTAAAATTAGGACGAGAAATGAAGTAATATTAAACTTTATTATAATTAAAAATAGTTGCTCAAAATCGATTTTCGAATAGTCGAAATTTGCAGCGAATTATTTTCTATTTAAAAAATGAATAACATATATACGTTACCGTTTGAAAAGCTCAAGTTCATAGGACATTACATATTAGGGATGGTGTTGTTATTTTATTGAAAACATAGGTAATTTAAATTGGACGAACTGTTAGCTAAATAAATTTAATATGTTAAAGATATTTTTTAAGATATTGATTGGGTCATTGCTGTTACAAGTAATCCGTAGTACAGAGCCTGAAAGTATAAATTGTTTTCAGGATAAAATACTCACGCCATTAGAAGTGAATTTGTACGTGGATGAGTTCATGAAAGTCGCCCAATCTCATGAACAACTGGGATTTCTTACTCTGCGACAGCTATCAGAAGTATTTAATTATTGGAAAACGATGAATGATACATTGAAACTAAAATCAGAACATCTTAAAAGCGGAAAAGGCGGTAATGCACATAAGCCGAACAGGCGCTACACTAGATTTAGACAATTTTTAATTCCTATTTCAATTTTAGAAGGCTATGTATTGTACGTGGCGGAGTTCTTGTTGATCATGTTGGATATTAAACGGCCAGTAAGTGCAATACTCATGTAAAAGGGGGGGGAAATAAAATCTTTGGATACATTAAATAGAAAACTTCTAAAATAACCAACTTAAAAAACCGAGCACATTCCAAACCAGCACAGTAAGGAATTACCAAAGTGGGGTTCAGTATCTACAGATTCGCATCAAAACGTTTTCTTCGAACGATTAGAATAAAATTATAAAAATCTGCAACAGCAGTTGTCTGCCTCTAAGGAAACTTGGCGGTTACTATGGAGAGGTTTGTAGGGTTTTCCTGGTTTCGCTGACTTTCCCTACTTTTAACTCACCGAAGTACCATCTGCAAATAATTTTGGATCTAAAAGTGGTGCTAAACGTAAATCGGTCAACATGAAAAAATGTTATCGTGTCTACAGACACAGAAAAGCAGATTTCCAATTGTTTTTTTTAAATGTAAATTTTTTTTTGGTAAATTTGTTTTGTGATTAATAACATACTGAATTTAAAGTTGATAATTCTATAATAGTCTCTAAAATCCACATTTATGGAGCTTAAGTCACTATTTGGATTTTTTTTTTACACATGTTATAGGTACATGTTAGACCGATCTTCAGACTAATTTTCCGCTCTTAAAACCTAAAATAACGCGTAAAAAAATTGAAACAAAAATCTTGAAACCGCCCCAGGGGGCGGGGGATTATCGAAACTTGGGTTCAGACACAAAAAAAAAAACATTATTTTTAAAACCATCTCCTTCTATGCTATGGCATCGATGCTTAGAAGGATTTTCGAGAAAATACAAAGTACAAGCATTAAGTATTTTTATTTATTAAAAACTATGTTTAATATATAAAAAGAACTTTTTCCACACGAAAATAACTAATATGAAAAAAAATGGTTAACAATTTACAACTTAAAAAAAAAAATAGTAAGTGAGTATATTATTGTAAGGGAGATTCAGTGTTCACGGGTAAAAATACAAATAATGTTAAAAGTATTGTTTCTAGAGACATTTTTGTGCTTAAGGCCCCTGGATACGGACGATGTTTAAGGAGTTTTGTGTAGGCAATATTTAAGAAAAAAGGGGTTTTAATAAATTTCGACCATGTTAATTAATTTACCGGTTAATTTATATGAGCTTCATGGGTATTATTTTTAATTTAAATCATTTTGTCTACGAGTAAAGCCATTTTAGTTAATGTAATAGTACATTTTTTGTCCATCACACAGGCTGAACCAGTGATCCGATAAGTAATCTGAAAACGGATTTAAATTTGTCATGAAGTTTACTTGAGATCGGTCAGCGTACCTTTTTGATATCTTATTCTTACTACGCATAAAACGTTTGAACATTTTATAAAATTTCAAATTATCCTTCTGTAATTATAACTTGTCATAAGATGGACGCCAAAACCACCTATTTAATTTAAGTTTCAAGCAGAGGCAATTTTTTGAAAAATCTTAATTTAGAGCTATAACTATAGTATATTATAATACTTGTTAATACAGTAGGTAATGAGAATTATTTTTGTATAGAATTTCTCAATATAAATTAAATTGTTTTTCTACATCAATCCCATTTTCGTAGTTCTAATACTGTGAAGTTTTAATTGATCAAAAAGCCAAAATTTCGTCAAAATATTGTCATTTATAAAATAAAGAGTCCAGTGATGATTTGTCGGAACAGGATTTTGAAAATAATGTCACAAAACGAGCCTTACTGGTTACTAAGCTTACCAGCATAGCTGATCCTTACTGCTAAACTATGACATTTTATTATTTTTGAAACAGTCTAACATAAAGCTTGTATTAATACTTTTTACATATGTTATAGGGCAATGGTCTGACCCTAACACAAATAAAAAAGTTTGGTATTTTGTACGAAGCTCAAAAGACATCCGGTAGAATTGATCCTGCGAAAAGTGAAAAATTGTTCAATGATCTTGGTATAACCGTAAACAACGAATTGAAACTGCTATTTAAATCGGATGGTCAGAATAAAAACATTTTCTTTATTATAATATTACTTATTATGATAAAAAATTGGACTAATTATTAAAACTCACACAGGACGCGTTGGAATATTGTTGATGGATTTAATCATGGCTGCGGCAGAACGCAATAAGATTTTAATGGAGAATGTAATTTCGTTTATAATTTTCTGTTTTATACATCTTAAAGTTATTCACTGCTATATTTGTTATACTATCTCACCTATTATACATTTTTACATTATCAATTTCTTAGGATTTAAGAGTGATAAGTCCAAGCGAGGTCATGTATGCCAGAAACGACTTCAATGAGTTTGACGATAGTAAAGACGGTGAACTGTCTCCTAAGGAGTATGCCGACAACAAGGCATACTTAAACCCTATTTCAAAATCAATGGAACAGTCGGCAAAACCTATTATTAAAAACGTAAACTTTGCGGAATTCTTGGAAATGCTATAGTTTGTTGACGAACATGATAGCGTAGAAGACTCTATGACATCAAGTTTTAATTCCTATATTGATGAATCACAATCTTAAACAATATTTGAAATTATGATATATTATAATAATTAAATATTTGAAATATTTTTATGTATTTATGAATTGAAATATACGGTGTCTAATAAACCTTTTCCGTTTTATATATTATGGATACATATGAGTTCTAACTACTGACAAATTTTCAATTTAAAGGTCCTAAAATTACGCCTAAAAAACTAAAAAACAAAAATACTTGTACCCCCTAACCTAACCCCCTAGGGGGTGGAAAATGGATATGATTTAAATTTGATACGTAGATGTCACAGGTTTCAAAACCCAACGACTTTTGGTCGTTTGTAAACGGTTGGTAATGTAGACGAAAGACAAATAACTGTTAGGATTACACAAGTATTTTTCATCACTGTCTTGTATTCTAGTTGACAATTTTTTGTTATTGTGTTCATATCTCTAATAAATTAATTGAATTCGTCTTTATTCTTTAATTTATTGCAGTTAAGAAAATATTGTTGCTGTACATTTATTAAATGTAATATTAAGTAATAATTATACATGTTTAAATTAGGTCGATTAATTCACATAATATTTTGTTTTAATATACAAAGAAGTTGTTCGCATTAGCTCTTAGAACATCAGGGTTCTACGGTCATGATAAAAAATAGTTCAAACATTTGAATATGTATCCATACAAACCATACATACTATACACAACAAAATACGCTAATAAAACACTTGTTTTTTATAAACAACGTGCCCTAAAATATTGTATGGTATTATTTTTAAATTTAGCTATGTATTAAGACATATTATTTTGTACGTAACATTTTTTTATAAAACATAGATTTAGAAAACTTATTATAATACACAGTGAATTTTTCAAAAAAATGGTTACTTTTGGATATTTTAAAATTATACATTAAATTTGTAGATATTAAATCTATTACTACTGTTAAAATTTGAAACTGCCTAAAAAAATTATTCATCGTTGACAGAATTGGTGCTCAGTGACATTGGTTTATTTCACCTAAATTAAAACAATTGTTTTAGCCAGGATTTTGTTTAAGAAAGATCCAAACTTCGATTTATCGAAATTAAAAAAATATGTATTAGACTATAATATATATTTTTATTTATATATATTAATCTATATATAAATATATATATTTTAGACAATACATAAGTGTGAAAATATCATTTTTGTAACGGGTTTTCTCAAGAAGCACTTTTCCGATCTATAGAGCATAGCATGGAGTATATTTAAAGTAATAGAATCATAAAAAAAAGTAAAATCTAACAGCATAGAAGGGATTTAAACTCGGTCACTGAACCGGTTTCTTCGTGTAGCAATTATTGGATTTTTTACTAATTAACTTTTTAATAAGGAAAACCTAAAAAGGGGAAAAATGTACACTTTCATCATTGTCAATCATTAGGTTGCTATGTGTATGTAAATAAACAGTCAACGTGTATTGGAAAATATTTCTATTATATTGTTAATTAGGTACGATACATGGGTATCTTTATTCCTAGATTTACTTTAGGATTTTATACACAGATGTCATAATACTATGTTGTTTTCAACTGCTTTATAATTTGAATATTTAGAAAAGCAAAATATAAGACATTTGTAATAAT